GATATGTTCACTGACATTTACACTGACTTTAAATCCTAGACATATATATCTACATTTTAAAAGCGATAGACTCTGTAATTGAAATACCAGCCATGTTATACTTTGATTTTATTATGTCACTTATCTCTTGTCTGATATCAGGTGAATCAATGACTTCAAAGAACTGATATTATAGCTTCTGTTTAATTGAGCAGGCTTTTCTAGTATTGTGCATGAAAACAAATCCTAAACATGAAAGAAAAGATCAAGTTTAATTGAGACATTAAAGCCACTTGAAACCCGTCTTCACCCATTCAAGCACTGCAATATATCCGTATAATCTGTGTCGGGTTTCTATTCAAGATCGTGGGAAAGTTCGCGAAGTAGTGAGGGAGATTGCAGGACTGGTCTGTAGCTTCAATTGATTTGCGTAGTTATATATACATTACGGAGAAGAAGTGCTTCTGTGGGCATTGTCTTTGTGACATGACTCGACTAGACTAGGGATACCCCATACATGATTCAGAAAGATTATGACTCAGGATTATAAGCCCAGGGATGTATCTTATGCTTTGGGTCAACAACCTCGAGATTTATGCCTGGTAAAATCAACTAAAAATCCTACTGCAGTAATCTCAGGCCTAACAAAAACAGATGCTGTATTGCCCTTTAAGTAACAGAACCTGGGTCGGTCGGCCGGTCGGATTTTGTGTTGTTTTTTGTTTAAACTTTTAATACTCGGTAGTTATTATAAGGGAAAAGGGCACTTGTCATAGTAAAAGGGGCACCTCCCAGATTGTTCTGCCCTCTACCCCACCCCCAACCTGAGAGCACAGCCTCTGCAGAGATCTGAATTAAGTTAATTCATGCGACTAGAAATAAATAGTCTTTCTCTATTTCGGGTGCCAGAAGATATTACGTCAAGTTACTGAACAAGTTGAAAGCGTTGAGTATAACCAACAAAAAAGGACATCCGCAAAGGGAAATCTCAAGGCGAAAATATACACTTTTTTAGACATTGGTATATTCCCCTACCTTATGATTTCATTATCAGGGATGGTTTTAATATCTGTTTCTCTTAAACATCATACAAGATATATTAGTCGGGTGTGATGGTTTGGATATTCACTTGAAAGCGAGCGAAACGAGCGAGAATTTTTTAGTGAGTTGTGAGGCCGCAGTGCGAAAAATTACATCTTATAATGTGGGAAAACACAACCCTGAATAGGGTGTTAGCACATTCTCATAAAGGAAGACTGAAAAGACTTTTGATAAGTAACATTACCATTTATAAAAGCGAGCGAGTTTTGGGGGAAATTGCTCTTAGTCGCTTTAAATTATGAGCACGTTTAATGATGAGAGAAAAGGGGACACTTATCGAAATGGATAAGACACTTATAAGAAAAGAAAGGGAGCACTTGTCAAAGTACAAACACCTGAAAAGAGGCACTTACCAGATATCAAAAAGGGCATATATGAGAATTGAAGATGAACATTTGTCGACGGAAAAGGGGAACCCATCATATTTTTATAGGGGCGTTAATGATAGGTGAAAATGGGCACTTATAAAAGGGGACAGGGCCTTTATCATAAGGAAAAGGGGCACGGTTTATAAATAACAGATGGGTATATGTGAAAATAAAAGGCGCGCTTTTCCGAGTTAAAAAGGGGTAGTTATTAAAAGGGAAAAGGAACTTCTTGCAACGGAAAAGGGCACTTGTCAAAGTAAAAAGGGCAATTGTGAAAATAAAAATGGGCACCTTCCAGGTTTAAATAGGTCAATTATCCGAGGTGTATGGGGTACTTATAAAAAATGGAAAGGGGCACTTTTCGTTCCTGAAAAGGGGCACTTACTAGGTATTACTAAAGGAAATTATGAGAAGTCAGTAGACACTTATTGCAAAGGAAAGAGGAAACTTGTCGAAGAAAAAGGGGCAGGTGTCAAAATAATAGAGGCACTTGTAAGAGGTGAAATGGGGGAAGAGGCACTTTTCCTTTGTAAAAAAAGGGCACTTATTGGATACTTGGAAACGTAGGGGGCTTGCCCCCCCAACTCCCCGAGAGCGCTGCCTCTGTAGAGATCTGAATTAAGTCAATACATGCGACTAGAAATATATAGTTTTTTCCGTATTTCGCGTGCCCTAAGATACTACGTCAAGTTACTGATCAAGTTGAAAGCGAAGAGTATAATGCGATAGTTTGTGTTGCTTTGCAGAGGCACAGAATTCTCAGAATGGTACTTGGCTTTCTGGCATTTCTTGGCAATATATGCAATCTGCAACATTAAACCTTTCATTGTATTATCACACTTCCTCTCAATAAAAGAAGAGTGTCTATAGCCCCTGTTCATAGAATTCGGCATGGTATGAAGCTGTCTATTCTCTCTATTGTGCGGAGTTGCGATCGGTTCCTAGCTCACTGATTGGTCAATAGTTTATTAGGGCGGTGACATCAATAAATTTTTACCGGGGGTACGTCCAGTGTCAGAGCTGGGGTCTGTTGTCATGATCGTTAAAGTTGTGTCTTCAGATGCTCCGCGATGGACAATGGCTTCAAATGCTTGTACTGCCCGTTGACTTTTCAATGATATGCGAAGTTAGCTCCAGCATCAAACAGAATCGTTGGATTAATCTGGACACCGAAACTATAGAAATGTTTCATATCTTAGCATAAAGAGAAGGATATACAATTTATTTTTAACTATAGCAGTTTAAAGACCGTTTCAAGATATTTTTCAGCCCAGCCCATGTTACTCAGCCACGTGAGCAAGTACGCAAAATCTGAGTTATTGTAGTGGTGTAGACACTTGTCAGTTTAGATTTTAAAATGTGTATATGTGCATATATGTGCATGTTTGTATAATACTATATTCCCCTGTCGAAGGCTGATATTTGATGCACGTTTCTCAAAAATCAAATATTATAAATAATTTGGAATAACTTTTGTCCGAGAAGAGGAGGGGGGGGGGTCGAGCCTAAACACTGCGACTATCGGACCTCTGTTAAAGAAAACACGAATATACTATACAAATTTTAAACATCATGAAATAGCACAAACTTATCGTTCCACGCCTCTTTAAAATGAAAGCGGCTTCAGAGCAATATGACATTTTAAGTTTGAAGAAAAAACATGTTTTGATTGTATCTAGTGCGCATTTGTGAAACGTTTCCGCTTTTAGCAAGCCCACATTTCAAGGATTAAATTATAAGTTATTAATCATCATTTATATTTTATTAAATGTCCTTAAGCTGCTTTTTAGAACACCATTATGAGAGTACCGCAATAAGATTATTTCTTTTTGGATTCATCAGAGGTGCCAGAATTCTCGAGGTTAATGACCCCATGGGATATACAGTGGGGTGAGGGGTCATTAACCTCCAGAATTTCGGTTCCCCTGATGAAACCAATATAAAAAAAATCTAAATAATTATTGCCTATTAATCATTAATTATATTTACAGACTGAAATGTTTTCATTTTGTTAAAAACATATTAAACATCCAATATTGCCAAAGGCAACACCGCGTAACTGGGCATTCGTATTGTTACAGATGTATCCCCCGAACAAAAAAAATCGATGCAAAGATATTGAAAAAGATTACCACCATCGAGATTAAAGAATGTGTATGACCATTATCACGTTAAAACGAACGAAATGAGTGTAAACTGGAAATTAATCTTTTGTTCCTTGAAATATCCATCATTTAAATACCGATAGACTCTAACATGTACATGACCATTCTCAGGTTGTTTTTGACAATGTCACACATCTCTTGTATTATATCGGGTAAATCAATGACTTCAAAGAACTGATGTTATAGCATCTGTTTAATGGAGCAGGCTTTCCTGGTATTGTGCATGAAAACAAATTCTAAACATGAAAGAAAAGATCAAGTTTAATTGAGACATGATAGCCGCTTAAAACCCGTCTGGGCCCATTCAAGCACTGCAATAGATACGTGTAATCCGTGTCGGGTTTCTATTCAAGATCGTGGGAAAGTTCGCGAAGTAGTGAGGGAGATTGCAGGACTGGTCGGTAGCTTCAATTGGCGTAGTTATATATACATTACGGAGAAGAAAGGCTTCTGTGGACATTGTCTTTGTGACATGACTTGACTAGACAAGGGTTAGAGTTCCATGGGGTTACCCCATGATTCAGAAAGCTTATGGCTAGCATTAATCTCGAGAATATCGCCTCCCCTGATGAACCAACAAAACAAATCTTACTGCCGTACTCTTATATTTGTGTACTAAAACGCCCCTAATGACATTTTGATATTCATTTTGGCACTTTATTCTTAATTTTTCTTGTATTAATAAAAGAAAATATGTTGACGAGAAATATCATTAATTTGTTTCCAATCAAAGATCTACATACACTGACTTGAAATATAATTTCTTTCTTTCTCTATTTCGTTCTCTAAAAATCTCTCGTTAGTATTTGTTTAAATCGTCAATCATTGGCATCTCTCCCCATAACTAAGGTCCAAGATTTGGCCCTTGCCCTTTCTGATCTTTCTCCTTTGCACTTCAAAACAAAACAGCATATATATATATATATGATTTTGTGATTTTTAATGGCTTCTTTTCATATTTGGTTATATGTAGGGAAGCAAGAGAGAAAGAGAAAGCAGAGAACATGAACAGAAATCAAGAGAGAGTAAGCTGAAGTGAGAGGGAGAGAGATATAAAACATACAAACAGGAAGAGAAAGAAAGAGAGAGGGGAAGATGAATAGAGGTTAAGAAAGATAGAGAGAGCAAGATAGAGAGATAGAGCTGAAGTGAGAGAATGAATTAAAAGGCCTTTTTTTAATTCGTAAATAAGCATAATTGAGAAAAACAACTTTCGATTTGAACTGGAATGACGAGAAACTCTAAACATTGATTTTGCATCTCTGTCTTACTCTCTGCTCTCCAACTTATTTTACACTCGTTCGTATCAGTCTCTCTCTCTCTGTATTTACAATCACACCAAAGAGTCTTATATTTACCACAATAAAGAGACGTGCACTGCGAGTAATATTGATATCAAAATAAAATTGAATGAATAATTTAAACAAAAATTAACATTAAGCTTGCAATTATTTCAATGATCATAAATAGTATTTATTTGGTGTTTGATGCAAGAATTTCGGCAATAACAACATACATCCTTGATCGAAATATAAAACATTCGCAACATATTTAAAAAGATGGAAGATTTTCCCAAGTCTATGACCAAATGAAGATTCTTTAGTCGTTGCATTCAGACTGTAATCATTTCCAGTTTTCGGTCCAGAAGATGTGTCCTGTAATGTCTCTTCAGGTTGCCAGACTGCGCGAAAGCTCGCTGACATCCTTCATGTTGACAGCGGTAGGGACGTTCCCCAGTATGAGTACGACGATGTTTGGTCAACGTCGACAAATCCCCGAATCGTTGTTGACAGTCCTGGCAGCAGTAAGGACGATCTCCTGTATGAGTGCGTAGATGAGTACGAAGAGACGTTCTCTGAGCGAAGGCTTTGGAACAGGACGGACATTGGAAGGGACGAGCTCCCGTGTGGGTTCGCTGATGGAACGAACAGCTGGAGGCCTGAGTGAATCGCTTGGGACAGAACTTGCAGGAGAAAGACAGCTGGCGTTCACCGGGGAGGTTCAATGAAGTGTTCGATGTCTCATGCAATCGTTGGCGCTTTGTAGGCATCGCGGAGATGTCCGGCGTTGAAGCGGGAACCATCGGAGAACATCGGATGATCTCGGTAAGGTACGAAGGAGACGGGAGGGAGCTAGTTGGAGAAGATCGCGAGCCTTCGGTATCGGAGTTCGAGTAGACCGAGCCGGTAAGTGATGCCGGAGCGGGCCATGATCGCTGGGAAGAGGCAAGATAAGGTGGTAGTGGTTGAGAGTTCGAAGGCACGGTACCGTAGATAACGCTACCGCTAGATGGAGCCGTCGATAAGGGCGTGGACGACGACGACGAAACCAGCCAGTTAACAACGGTTGATCGACGAGACGACTTTGTTGGCTCTCGGTCACTGCGCTGAATGTCTACCTGTCCAGTCAGAATAGTGCTAGATGTATCTCTTGCAGGGCACAGCGGACAGTTCGGGACGCCGCATTTGAAGATAGTCGACGGAGTCTGATGATGATGTCGAGACCAGATGACGGAGGCGATGGCCTTGTTGAAGTCGGGTTCTTGAGTCTCAATGGTGATCGGTAATAGGTCACCCTTGCTCCCAAGGGACAGAAGTGAAGACGCCGCGTGTAGACGGTCCATGGCGTAATCGTTGTGATTGGACCTGGATGACAAAATAAAAAGGGAGGGGAGACATTTAGTTATGCTGCCCATGATACAAGCTATGGTTTATTTAACAATGTTCATACATTTTCATGAATTATTACTTATTTTTACAAATTCGAAGATTCATACTATCACATAAACATTACATTAAGAAAATTGTAATTATTTGAAAGAACACAAGTCGTGCTAATAAAGGTTTATGATATTACAGTCAATGTCTCAAAGTTGATATCAAATAAATGAAGTCACAGAATATACTACTGGTCAGTAGACATAAAATTAGTTTTAAATTGTGAATTAATATATTTCAGAAAAAAACTTACGTGATGCCGAAAGGCAGTGGAGACATTGAGGTATATTGCAAGGAACTGGCGTTATAAAAGGTTACTCCAAATAGATCTTTGCTGTACAAGTTGATTGCGAAGAGTTCGTGTTGCTCTGAAGAAGACGATAGCTCAGAATGGCGGCTTTCTAGCATTTCCTGGCGATTTATACAATTTTCGAACATTAAAGCTGACATTATTTTATCACACTTCCTCTCAATAAAAGAACAGTGTATAAATCCCAGTTACATAGAATTCGGCACGTTGTCAAAAGGAGATAAAGCTCTGTACGCTGTCTATTGAGCGGAGGTGGGACCGGTTCCTGGCGCTCTGATTGGTCAGTAGTTTATTGAGGCGGTGACATCAATGAACTTTGACCGGTGGACGTCCAGTGGCCGAGCTAGGGTTCATTGTTTGGCTATGCTTTAAGATGTTCCGCGCTGGACAATGGCTTCAAATGCTTCTACTGCCCGTTGCCTTTTCAATGATATGTGATATTAGCTACAGTTGGATTAAGCGGAACACCGAGTCACCGAAACTATTGAAATTTTTCTTAGCATATAAAAGACAAGGATATTCAGTATGTTTTAACTATATCATTTTAAAGACCGTTTCAAAGTACTCTTCAGCCCAGCCCATGTGACTCAGCCTCGTGAGAAAGTAAACAAAATCTGAGTTGGTGTAGTGGTGCAGAAACTTGTCAGTTTAGATTTAAAAATATGTATGTGTGCATATATATATATATATATATATATATATGTGCATGTTTCTTTCATACTATATTCCCCTGTCGAAGGCTGATATTTGATGCACGTTTTTTAGAAATCAAATATTTTAAATAATTTGAAATCACTTTTGTCCGACTATCGAGCCTCTCTTTAAAAGAAAAAAAAACGAATATACCATACACATTTTAAACAACATGAAATAGCACAATCTTATATGAAATTATAAGTCTGAAGGAAAAAAATGTTTAAATTATGTCTAGTGAGCATGTATGAAACGTTTCCGCTTTTTTAGCAACCCATATTTCAAGGATTTAATTATAAGTCAATAATCATCATTTATCATTTTATATCAAAATGTCCTTAAAGTGTTTTTTAGAACACCAATATGAGAGACTGCGGTAAGATTACTTTTATTGGTTTCATCAGAGGTGCCAAAATTCTCGAGGTGAATGACATCAGGGGATATACCATTGGGTCGAGGGGTCATTAACCTCGAGAATTTCGGTTCCCCTGATGAAACCAATACAAACAAATCTAAATGATTATTACCTATTAATCATTAATTATATGATTGCCAAAGGCAATCGCTACTTTCGCTATAATCGATGGGCATTTGTATTTTAAACATGTATCCCCCAAACATAAAATCCAGGCAAACATATTGACAAAGATTACCACCATCGACATCAAAGATAGAGTATGACAATTATCATTTTATAACGAACGAAATTTGTGTTCACTGACAATAATAGTGATCTTTTGTTTCTTGAAATATCCATCATTTAAATACCAAAAGACTCTGAAATGTATATACCAAGATGACTATTCTCAGGTTGTTTTGACCATGTCCCACATTTCTTGTATTATATCGGGTAAATCAATGACTTCAAAGAACTGATGTTATAGCTTCTGTTTAATGGAGCAGGCTTTCCTGGTATTGTGCATGAAAACAAATCCTAAACATGAAAGAAAAGATCAAGTTTAATTGAGACATTAAAGCTATTTGAAACACGTCTTCGCCCTTTCAAGCACTGCAATAAATCCGTGTAATCTGTGTCGGGTTTCTATTCAAGATCGTGGGAAAGTTCGCGAAGTAGTGAGGGAGATTGCAGGACTGGTCTGTAGCTTCAATTGATTTGCGTAGATATGTTTAGATTACGGAGAAGAAAGGCTTCTGTGGACAGTGTCTTTATGACATGACTCGACTAAACAAGGGATACCCAAACATGATTTAGAAAGCTTATGACTCAGACCCCATGGTGTATGTTCTACTTTGGGGTCAATAACCTTGAAATGTTTGCCTCCCCTGGTGATACCAACAAAAAATCTTACTACGGTAATCTTTAATATTGGTGATTTTAAAATCCTCCCCCAGGACATTTTGATAATCAGTTTGGGACTTATTTCTTCAATAAATATATGATATTGAGAAATAGATACAGGGTCTATGGAACGATTCCCAAAGTATGTGTGTGTGTGGGGGGGGGGGCGCCAACAAAAAAGGGCACCTGCAGGCGACAAAATATAATTTTATGACATTATTATACTCCTACCTTATGATTACATCATCAGGGATGGTTTAAATATTTGTTTCTCTTTTTACATCATACAAGATATTTTGCAGTCGGGCACTCGGTGTAATGGTCTGAATATTCACTTGCAAGCGAGCGAGAATTTTTTGTAAAGATTTTTGAGGTCTCAGTGCGAAAAATTACATCTTATAAAGGGGGAAAACATAACTCTAAATGGGGTGTTAGCACATTCTCCTAACGGAAGACTTAAATAAAAGACTTTTGATTAGTAACATAATTATATCATCTATAAAAGCGAGCGAGTTTTGGGGGAGATTGCTCTAAATCGCTTTAATTTATGTGCACGTTTAATGATAAGAGAAAAGGGGACACTTATCGAAATGGATAAGACACTTATCAGAACAGAAAAGGAGCACTTGTCAAAGTACAAACGGTTATTATCAGAGGTGAAAACAGGGATATTCTAACACATGAAAAGAGGCACTCACCAAAGATGAAAAAGGGCACTTATGAGATTTTGGAAATGGGCACATATAGGCGGAAAAGGGGCACCCATCAGATTTTGATAAGAGGTGAAAATGGGCATTCATGAAAAGAGGATATGTCCCTTATCATAAGGAAAAGGGGCACTTATTGGAAAGGTTAAGGGGCATATGTGAAGATAAAAAGCGCGCTTATCCGAGTAAAAAAGGGGTTGTTATTAAAAGGGAAAAGGTACTTCTAACTACGAACAAGGGCACTTGTCAAAGTAAAAGGGGGCACCTCCCAGATTGTTCTGCCCCCCCCCCCCCCTGCCCAAGAACGCCGACTCTTCCTGAGATCTGAATTAAGTCAATAAATGCGACTAGAAATATATAGTCTTTCCCTATTTCGGTCGCCCAAAGATACTACGTAAAGTTACTGATCAAGTTGAAAGCGTAGAGTATAAAGCGAGTGTTTGTGTGGCTTTGCAGAGGCAGAATTCTCAGAATGGTGCTTGGCTTTCTGGCATTTCGTGGCAAAATATGCAATCTGCAACATTAGAGCTGACATTGTGTTATCACACTTCCTCTCAATAAAAGAAGAGTGTATATAGCCCCCGTTTCATAGAATTCGGCACGGCTTGAAGCTCTCTATTCTCTCCATTGTGAGGAGGTGCGACCGGTTCCTATCTCACTGATTGGTCAATAGTTTATTGGGGCGGTGACATCAATGAACTTTGACCGGGTTGACGTCCAGTGTGCGAGCTGGATTCTGTTGTTATGTTTGTTACGGTGTGTCTTAAGATGTTCCGCGCTTTACAATGGCTTCAAATGCTTGTACTGCCCGTTGACTTTTCAATGATATGTGAAGTTAGCTACAGTTTTCAAACAGAATCGTCGGATTAATCGGAACACCGAAACTATAGAAATGTTTCATATCTTAGCACAAAGATAAGGATGTACAGTTTTGTTTAACTATATCATTTTAGAAGACCCTTTCAAGGTATTCTTCAGCCTAGCCCCTTTCGTTCAGCCACGTGAAATGGTACGCGTTCAGTTGAATGTCGAATTGGGTTAGAAACTTGTCAATTAAGAAAAATATATATTCTGTGTGTATTAATAGTACTATATATTTACCTCTCATAGGCTAATATCAAATTTGATGAACTATTAAATACAAAATCATATATTATCAATGATTTGGAATCACTTGTGTCTGAGAAGGCCGTGGGGTGTTCGAGCTTATCCATTGCCCTACCGGGTCACTTAAAAAAAAATGAACTTACCAGAAAATACATGAGATTACACAAACTTGTCGTTCTACGCCTGCAGAAAAATGAAAGTGGCTGCTAAGCACAAATGAGAATCAAAGTTTGAAATAAAAACATGTTAAATTCGCGATAATCAATGATTATTTTAAATCCTAGAAAAATATCTACATTTTAAAGCGATAGACTATTTAATTGAAATACCAGCCATGTTATACTTTGATTTTTATTAATGTCACTTATCTCTTGTCTGATATCGGGTAAATCAATGACTTCAAAGAACTGATGTTATAGCTTCTGTTTAATGTAGCAGTTGCAGATGAGCCTTTCATGGTATTGTGATGAAAACGAGCCATACAAATGGAAGAAAACATAAAGTTTAATCAAGACGTTAAAGCCACTTGAAACCGTCTTGGCCCATTCAAGTACTGCAATAAATCCGTATAATCCGTGTCGTGTTTCTATTCAAGATCGTGGGAAAGTTCGCGAATTAGTGAGGGAGATTGCAGGACTGGTCTGTAGCTTCAATTGATTTGCGTAGGTATATTTAAATTACGGAGAAGAAAGGCTTCTGTGGACAGTGTTTTTATGACATGACTCGATTAGACTAGGGATACCCCATATATGATTCCTTAAGCTCATGACTCAAAGCCCCGGGGTGTATATTATACTATGGGGTCAATAACCTCGAGATGTTTGCCTCCCCTGGTGAAACCAACAAGAAATCTTACTGCGGCGATCTCACATTGGCGTTTTAAAAAGCACCCCCAGGACATTTTGACAATCAGTTTGGCACTTAATTCTTCAATTAACTGGTATTTTTTAAAATAGAATATGATAATGAGTAAGATCATTAATTTGTTTTTCCAATCAGAGATCCAGGGACGAATAAGCAACTTCCAAAGTGTGTATTTGTGGGGGGGGGGGGGGCACCTGCAAAAAAGGGCATCTGTAAAGGGAAATCTCAAGGCGAAAATATACATTTTTTTAGACATTGGTAGATACCACTACCTAATGATCACATTATCAGTGATGGTTTTAATATTTGTTTCTCTTGTATATCATACAAGATATTTTGCCATCGGGTGTAATGGTTTTGATTTTCACTTGCAAGCGAGCGAGAATCTTTAAAAAAGATTTGTGAGGTCGCAGTGCGAAAAATTACATCTTATAAAGGAGGAAAACACAACCCTGAATGGGGTGTTAGCACATTCTCATAAAGGAAGACTGAAAAGGCTTTTAATAAGTAACATAATTAAATCATCTATAAAAGCGACCGAGTTGGGGGTAAATTGCTCTCTTTGAATTATGAGCACGTATAATGATGAGAGAAAAGGGGACACTTATCGAGATGGATAAGAAACTTATTAGAAAAGAAAGGGAGCACTTGTCAAAGTACAAACACCTTAAAAGAGGCACTTACCAGAGATGAAAAAGGGCATATATGAGAATTGAAAATGAACATT